ATCCTCCATACTGTTTTTCCAGAGTGGTTGCACCAATTTACAATCCCACCAACAGTGCGTGAGGGTTTCCTTTTTTTTTTTTAAAGATCTTTATTGGGAAATTAGGGGAGGGGAACAGCACTGGGGAATCTGGGGAAGGGGAACAGACAAGTTGCTGTCCTTTGGTTCTTCAGTCTAGTTATGGAGGACGTCGCTTTACTGGCCCATGTTGGTATTATCATTGTGCTCCTCCCAGGTGAGGCAGATCGGTTGCCGGCCTCTGGATGGCTGCTCATGGTGGCTCTTGGCAGCTCACACCAGCTGCCAGCTGCTCATGCTGGCTGCTGCCCACACACAGTAGCTTATGGCAGCCCACTGCAGCAGGGGCTGCAGCCTATGCCGTCGCCTGCGACTCACGGCTTCCCAGCTCCAGGTCGAGCTGTTGTTCATCATCTTAGCTGTAGAGGGCAGTGTCACTGGCCCTCATGTGGGATCCAAACCGGGGCCCTGCTGCTCAGAGCTGGTGTCCCAAGTCAGCTGTCAACCAACGCGCCACTCAGCTGGCCCGCCTTTTCTTTTTTTTAATGGGAGCCAAGTCTAATAGGTTTAAGGTGATATTTCATTGTGGTTTTGATTTGCATTTCTCTAATAATTAGTGATGTTGAACTTTTTTTGAACATCTTTTCATATGCCTATTGGCTATCTGTACATCTTCCTTGGGAAAATGTCTATTCAAATCCTCTGTCCATTTTTTAATTGTATTGTGTTTTGTTGTTGAGTTGTATGAGTACTTTATATATTTTGGATATTAACCCCTTACTGGAAGTATCATTTGCAAATATCTTCTCCCATTTGGTTTCATTGACTTTTTGTTTTGCTGTTGGTTTCCTTTGCTGTGCAAAAGTTTTTTTGTTTGATTTAGTCCCATTTGTTTATTTTTGCTTTTGTTTCCCTTGCCTTTGGAGTCAAATTCACAAAAATACCACTGAGACCAGTGTCCAGAAGCTTAATGCCTATGTTTTCTTCTATGTCTTTTATTGTTTTAGGTCTTACATTCAAGTCTTTAATCCATTTTGAGCTAATTTTTAAGTATGGCGTAAGATAGTGGTCTATTTTCATACTTTTGCATATGGCTGTCCAGTTTTCCCAACACCATTTATTGAAGAGACTTTACTTTTTCCATTGTATATTCTTGGTTACTTAGTTGCCTGTTTACATACGGGTTTATTTCTGAGCTCTCAATTCTGTCCCATTTGTCTGTGGTCTGTGTGTCTTTCTCATGCTAGGGATTTTTATTATTTTCTGAAAGGGCATAATGTATTCTCTGGAGTCACATGTAATTATTTAAAAGGACTTTGAGAATAGAAAATTTGATTAAATCACATAGCAACAAAATACAAAGATTATTATAAAAACACAACTACAATAAATCCTTGTCTAAAATACATATTGAGCACCTGTTAGGAACCCTAAACTGTACTAAAAGCTATAAATAAAAGGCAACCACAGTTAAGCCCTACGAGGAAAGTTAAAAGCAAACCTTGATGATGTCTCATATTGCTCCTTCACCCTGAGATTTCAAATATCTGTGCTATTCACAAATCAGACAACTTTATAAAAGCTGCTTTCAAATCTTAGATGTTGGATCACAGTGATTTCAGTTTGAAATAATCCATTTGGGGTGAAACTTCATGGGGTGACAAATAGAGGAAATCTCCCTTCTCAGAAACATTACACCCACAGAGTTAAAATGGATGGCTATTAGAAGACTGCACTTCCTTCTATATACGAATGAATTCCCTAAAGGAAATTGAAGTTTATTCTGAAGTAATCAGTGTATTTACCACATGCAAGACTTAGGTAACAGGTTCTAACTCTCCAGGCAGAGTGAAGAAAGGCAGTGAGTGGCTTAGAGCAGAGACAGCCACAGGCAGCCCTTTCAGAGTGACAGTTGAAGATAGAGTTTTAGTTCCTCCTTTCTCTTAGCGTAAAGCTCCACTTGATGATAAGTGGGCCATTTAGCCATACAGGGCTGTTGAGCACTGGAAATGTGGCTAGTGTGACTAAAGACCTCACTTTTTATTTTAATTGTGCTAAAATACATAACAAAATTTACCATCTTAACCATTTTTAAGTTCGGTAGTGTTAAGTACGTTGAGTGTTATGTAACCAATCTCCATAACTTTTTTATCTTAACCTAAAAGTCTATACCTATTAAACAACAACTCGCCATTCCTGCCTCCCCACAGTCCCTGGCAACACCACTATCCTACTTTCTGGCTCTATGAATCTGACTATTTTTGATTCCTCACATAAGTGGAATCATGCTTGTCTTTTTGTGACTGGCTTATTTCACCTAGCAAATTGTCCTCAAGGTTCGTCCACATTGTAGCATGTCTCAGAATTTCCTATTTAAGGCAATAACATTCCATTGCATGTATACACATAGTTTGTTTATCCATTCATTTGCCAATGAACACGAGTTGCTTCCACCTTTTGATTATTGTAAATAATGCTATGAACATCGGTGTACAAATCTCTTTGAGACCTTGCTTTCAGTTCTTTTGAGTATATAGCTAGAAATGGAATTGCTGGATTATATGGTAATTCTTTGTAATTTTTGAGGAGTTACCATATTGTTTTCCATAGCAGCTGCACCATTTTACATTCCTACCAGCAACACACAAGAGTTCCAATTTCTCCACATCCTTGCCTTAATTTAAAAACTGATAATTCAGTTATTGGAAAAATTTTAAGTATGTTTGGGACAATGTGGATATATGAATCTATTTTTCCAACTTTAAATTTTATGAAATCTAAATATACATTAAGTGTTCCCAATAAAAATTTAGCATCTGTATTGAGATGTGCTGTATGTGGAAAATACACACCAGGTTTCAAAATTTAATACAGAAAAAAGAATATAAAATGTCTCATTGATGATTTAATATATTGATTACAAATGAAATACCTTGGATATGACACAAAATATTAAAATTAATTTTAACTTTTTTACTTTTGTAAATGTAGCTACTAGAAAAATTTTAAATTACATATGTGGCTTACATTATATTTCTATTGGACAGCAAGCACTGCTATAGAAGTGACCTTCACTCCTACCACATAATGAAATCCACCAGATTCCAGAAGACAAACTCCTCCTGGAGTCCTAATTGTTGTAAGTCAAATAAACTCTCTTAATCCTCCCCTCTGCCATTCATATTTACATCCATCATGGAAGGAGTCCCTGAATGAAAGCTTCTATCAACTGTTACTGCGAAAACATGGGCTGTCTGTTATATCTAGTTCCCTGGTGACTATCTGGTGCCCAGGTTTGGGTATCCTACTTTCTATGTTGTGTTGGTGACCATAGCCTGATGCCTTTCATTACAGAGTTGATCAACTCCTGTGCTTGGGTGAAGGCTGGGGGCTGTGAGACAATGTCACACCAAGGAAAGCTCAGGAAATGTGTTAATGTATTTGCAAAGTTTCCTTCCGTCTCCTTTGATTTGATAATGTGGCCTTGACACAACTTCGCCTCCTGTACCTTTGTGGTTCTTACCCACTTACATCTTATTTCCAATCTGAAAGCAGTCAAGAATCCTGGAATTACTTTCACCTCTGTGACGACAAAATAATGGGGCAAGACCTAGATGAGGTGTGGTCACTTTCAATGAACTGATGGCCACATGCCCAGAGGGGTTGAGGGTGTGTGGGGGGATCCAGGAAAGAACCCTGAAATGTTGGGTAGGGAGAAGCCAGAAGCTGGAATTGAGGCAGAAGAGCTGTTGGGACTATATTTCTGTTGCTCACACCAGGGACACTCAAGATGCAATAATCATCACCCCTGCCCGAGTTAACAGCAAAAATTAGCCTCCTCCCTAGAGGATAAATTGTGCATAAGTTTTTAAAAAATAAAATTATTTTGGAATAATTTAAAATCTACAGAAAAGTTGCAAAGATAGTACATGAAGGCTCTGTATACCCTTCACCATTTCTCCTATGTTTAATGTCTGATACAACCACCATAGCACGTTAAGAAACTCGTATTGGTACAACGCTCTGAAACTGCAGACTTTAGTCTGATTTTACCATTAGCATCTTACTGTTTAAAATCCAACCCACAGTCCCATATTGCATTTAGCTTACAAGTTTATTATATACAAAGTCTCCCCTATTTTACCATTCACGTTAATGTTCATTTTCTCATTAGGGGATAGGTTTTAAGGTTTTATTTGTGTGTGTGTGTGTGTGTGTGTGTGTGTGTGTGTATGGTCATGTATAGTTCAGATATAAATTCATTCATACTGGTTATGTCCACCAAAGGCATAGTTATGGTCAAGCAATGAAGGGTTATTAGTTGTTATAGTGAGGGAGATCTCACATCACAGAGGGGGGTGTTAAAGAGGGCATATTATAGCATTTGGGCTTGTTAGGAGATTTGGGGAAGGGTCCAAGGAAATGGGTTTGCTTTGGTACTGTCAGCTGGGGCAATTCTGTTATTAGTTTAATATCGTATTTTGCCATGTAAATGCACTCTTTTGGCCCAAATTTGTGAGGGAAAAACAAGGATGCGCATTATACATGGGTAGTGCTAATTCCATATCTATATAAATGTTTTAAATTATTTTATTTATGCTTATGCATTAAAAGTGTAACTCTAAAAATCAATAATGGTATCCATATGCAAAATAATACCCTAGAATACGATAATCGGTTTTGTTGAACTTATGACAAATTTGCAATGATGAAGAGCTCTTGGCCTTCTATGATGCGTAAATATCATAAATTTGTTACCAGTACATAAAATTTCTTGTACCTTGTATCTGTTCTTGTCTTTTGTAATTATTTGTTACATAAAATTTCTTGTGCCATAACATGCTAAAATTCCTTTATAATACAAAAAACAAGTACCTAAACGCAAACAAATAAAAATTTGAGTTAAAAAATTAAAATATTTTTTCCCCTGAAAGTTTGGGCCAAAAACGTGAGTGCACATTATACACGGCAGCACATTATACACTGCAAAATACAGTAATTTTTATGTAGAAAGCAGGAAGAATGGAACAGGACTAGAGTTGTCACTGGAGAAACAGTAGTTGCTCAAGTTAGCTGGGGAAAGTATGGTTATCTTTTTGTGGTTGCACAGTGTGTTTTTATCTGTTCAAGCATGATTTGTCATTTTCTTCTCTTTCCATCCCATCAGAGACCTCATCTGATGTCACTATTCCATGACGTTGCTTATGTTCATGGGGCATCCAAGTCAGCTACCACCCTTGGCTCTCAGGGCTCCTTTCCTTTTTAGTGGTGCACCCAATCATAATTAAGATGAAAAACAAAAGGAGATAGCTGATAAGTTCTGATACTGCTAGTTCCGACTGCGTACATATGCTTAACAAAAACTCCACACCAAAGGCTGGCAAGTTTAGTCTGTCTACTGTAAAAACACACCTGGCCTGGTTAACAGGAACTCAAACGATACTGAACTGGCGCGTTTCTCCAGCAGTGACCTTAGTGGTGACACTCTCTGGCCCAGCACTCAGTTCCTGAAAACCAGACCCCAGGACAAAGCCCTGCCCTCGGGAGCCAGGTGGGGCGACTTGACGGTGCGGAGGAGCAACCCAAGAACTGGGAGCACACCTGTGACCACTTCTCAAGCCCTCAGAACCGCCATTATCCGTTTTCGGTTCCCTCTTTCTTCCTAGGCAGGAAACGGCTCTCATTTTCCTCTCTCACGAGAGTCTTCAATTCAGGCGTCCTTTGGGCTCACTATTTGCGGGGGGAAGGGGAGGCGAAACTCCTACTAAGTACCTTCAGGGACTCAGGAAGGTTCAGCAGACGCTTCCCTTGCCTGAGCCACACTCACTGGAGTCCCGCCACACCGGTCCACTAACCCAGGCCCCGCCTCCGCCCGGCTGACCAATCCCCGACTCCGCTGGCGTCTGGTTTCGTATGAAAGGAGTGCGTCGCGTCCTCCTGGAAAAGATGGGGTCTCATGGGGAAAGTGACCCGCGGTCGCGCAGGCAGCCAGAAGCGGGGTTGAGGCACTGGGTCCTGGGGCTGCTGCTCCCGGGTGTTGGGGCGCAAGGCCGAGCAGGGGACGGATATGCCGAGAGCAGCTGCAGCAGCGCTTCCGGAAGCTCCGCGTGCGCACAGCGGGCGGGACTTCTTCCCTCAGGCCCCGCCCAGAGCGCGCTGCCAGGGGTTTTCGTGGGGATGGTAACTAAGCTTCAGCAGGCAGAACTGCAACTGTGGATTCTCCTGCGTTCCACCCTGCTCTGGGTTCTCAGAGCGACGACGGAGGTGCCGAGTGTGACAAGCAGGAGCGTGACTCGGAGCCTGAGGTGAGGGGCGGGACGGGTGGAAGGCCCGAGGTCCACACACGCGGGACCGACCAGGGACTGACCTGGGACTGACCTGGGACTGGGCCCCCTGGTAGTGGGAATAGCAGGCCGGAGGTTTGGGACGGGGCGTCAGGAGTTTGGAGAGGGAGCCAGGTGAGGAGTCGCAAATAGTGAGCCCAAAGGACGCCTGAATTGAAGACTCTCGTGAGAGAGGAAAATGAGAGCCGTTTCCTGCCTAGGAAGAAAGAGGGAACCGAAACGGATAATGGCGGTTCTGAGGGCTTGAGAAGTGATCACAGGTGTGCTCCAGCCCACCTCGGGGTATGGAGACCAGAGAAGGCAGCAGCGGCCGAGTCTGAAGAATCCCTTCCTTGGGGAAGGGATGGGCTGGGGGTGTCCTGGGTCGGTGGGCATTCGGGACCTGGAGGTTTGACAAATCTGCGCCAGCTTGCCACGGGCACCTTCAAGGGTTTTGAAACTTGGTGAGAAAGAGGCCCTTTTTATTTTAGTTTGACCTTTTAATTTAGTTATATTTTTTAAGGCAGTACAGTCACATATTTAAAGACTCACAAACTTGCTCAAAGCTTTATTACTCAAAAAACTCTTTTCTCTCCATTTACTGCTTCCTCAGGAAACATTTTCAAACCTTTGAACTTTTCTTCTCCAGAAGTTTTATTTTTTCTCTTGTATCTGCATTTCTTCTCTGTACTCTTTCTTCACCAGCGTCACTAAATTTGGTCTGAAATATTTCTTCATTGATTTTCTTTGCGTCCTAGTCACACTTCGCTGCTGCATGTGTGTAGTCAGTCATTTGTTTTTCTTTCCCTTTTTCTAGTCATATCCTTGAGTACAGGCGTGATCAAAAAATACCATGAATGCTGCTGCCAATTGCCATCCAACAGAAAGGCAGGGATCTTCAAAAAGAACCTTAGTAACTGTGACAAGTTTCAACTTGTTTGATGTGGTTAGTAGGGTGTGAGCTATGGTTGAGGGGTGTGTTTTAAAGTGTGCCATAAATCATGGATCATGAACAACGCATTAACATGAAATTTTGTTTCAAACTGCAAAAAGTGCTGAAGAAACACACGAAATGTTAAAATTAGTTTATGGTGATGCTGCAGTGACCATGAAGACGGTTTACAAATGGTTTGAGCAATTTCGTAATGGTTGTGAATCAATTAAAGATGAGAGATCGGGATGTCCTTCTACATCAAAAACCCAAGAGAATGTTGAAAGAGGAAGTGAAATGATTTGATCAAACAGATAGTTGACTATTAGAGAAGTTTCTGAGGATCAGAACATCTCTTATGGTTCTGTTCAAAGCATTTTAACAACAGATTTGAACATGTGGCCAGTAGGTGGGAAATTTGTTCCATAAAGTTTGACTGTGAAACAAAAGCAATAGCATTTGTCAGTTTCATTGGAGTTGTATGATGGTGCTACTTCAGATTCCAGCTTTTTAAGACATGTCATGACAGGAGATGAAACTTGGGTCTATGGTTATGATCCTGAGACCAAGTTTCAGAGTTCTCAATGGAAATCACCCAGTTCTCCTCATGTGAAAAAAACGCGTCCATCAAGATCTAACATCAAGGTGATGTTAATTGTGTTTTTTTTACCTCGATTGAATTGTGCAAGCTGTTTGTACCCAGGAACACTATGGTGAACTCTGAATATGATAAGGGCTTATTAGAAGCATTTAAGAATTGATGTACATAGAAAATGGCCTGAGAAATGGGCAAACGGTTTCATCCTCATCATGATAACACTCTTGTGTCACACATTGTTTCTGGTATGGCAGTTTCTGTCAAATGAAAACATTATGGTGTGTCCTCATCCTCCTTATTCACCAGATCTGGTACTGCGCAACTTCTGGCTCTTTCCCAAAGTCAAAATGACCATGAAAGGTAAGTGCAACTAAAGACACTCACAAAAGAGGACTTCCAGAACTGCTTTAGAAGGTGGCAAGTACGATGGGATAAGTGTGTTTGAAGTGAGGGGGAGTATTTTGAGGGGGATTAATGGCAATGTGTCTTTTACTGTAATAATTTTTAAAAATTTTAAACATTCATAGTTTTTTATCACACCTCGTAGATTTTGCACTAGTTCTTTTTTGACAGCTCATCTTAGAATGAGACTGAATTTAGCAGGTGCTGGGAGTGGGTCCAGGGCTGTGTCTCAGGCTCTCATATGTTTTATTTATGAACAAGATTTTGGGAGAATATTTGAGCTCTTGCTCTTTTGTATATGTCAGTTTGGCTCAAATAAACATATAAAAAAGATTTTTGTATGTAATTTTCTCCCAGTTTTAAAAATAGGAAATATGACATATAAGAGATATATTGTAAAAAATACCTCAAAGGTGTAAAGAATACTACTCAACCTAAGATCTGTGTATCTACCACTAATCTTAAATAGAACTCCCTCTACCCTTATCTTATGACCCTGTAAAATCCAAATCACAGCACACCCTCCTCTACCACTGTCTTGAATTTTATGCTTGTCAATTACTTGCTTTTTATAATTTGACTAAAATTGCATCCCAGAAAAAAATGTATTGAATAGTTTTGCATGTCCTTGGATTCTATATATAAGGTGTTTTCATACTCTTATGTTTTCTTCAGTGCCTTTCTTTTGTTAATCAACCTTGTCTATTATCTTCACAGGATGATTCCAAGACCGAGCATAAAGCCATAGTATTTCGCACTGTTTTATAGTATTTAATAAGTTTAATAAGCAGGCAACAACTTATTTTTCCACTGTTCTGTTAAAGGATGTATAGGTTGTTTCTAGCTTGGGATATTATAAACAGTGGTGCTTTGAATCAATACATATTTTCTGTGGCACATGTACCAGACTTTAGGCTCTATACCTATGATGGAATCCCCAGGTCGTAGGATTTGTCCACATTCAACTTCCACATAAGGACACTTTTCCAAACAGGTATACAAGCTCACCTCCTTTACCCTAGTGGGACTGCTAGATTATATAGTAAGTAAATATTTAACTTTATGTTTTGCATTCCATTAGCAATGTGTAAGAGTTCCAGTTGCTTTCAATCTTCCCTAGCACTTGATATCATCAATTTAGAAAATTTAAAATATTTGTTTTAGTAATTCCATAGGGGTATATGGTTATATTTTTTCATGGCTTTAATTTGCATTTCACTAATTGCTAATATTGATTATCTTTCATGAGCTTATTTGTCATCCTATATCCCTTTATAAAGTATCTATCTGGGTCAAGTGTTTTGCCCACTTTTTAAAATTGGCTTGTTTCTTTCCATTTCTTTTCTTTTTTTTTTTAGCTGAGCCATCCTGCCACCTGTTGGCAGCTCAGCAGCAGCTCAGCTCAGGCTGTGAATTGAACGGGTGACCTTGTTGTCTTGAACCAACTCTTAACCAACTGAGCCATTTCATTTTCACAGTTTTTATACTTTCTAAAACAAGTGCAGATACATGATTTGCAAAATTTTCTTCCAGTTTGTAGCTTATTTTAACAGTATTGCAGAGTAAAAATTTTTAATTTTGATGAAGTGAAATTTGTCAACTTTTTATTTTATGGATCTTGCCTTTGGTGTTATATCTAAGAGCTCTGCACAACACTAGGTCTTGAAGACTTTCACCTATATTTTCTTTTAAAAGTTTTATCTTACAATTTGACATTTTATATACAGGTATAGGATTTACTGTGAGGTTTGTTTTTGTTTTTGAATGAACTGTGAGATTTAGGTCAAGGTTCTCTTTTTTTGCATATGGATATAATTTTGTTGAAAATACTACTTTCTCCACTGAATTGGTTTTGCTTCATTGAAAAAATCAGATGGCCATTTTTGTGTGGGTCTAGATCTTGACTCTGTGCTCTGTTCCATTCATTTATATGTATATCCTTTTATCAGTACTCCACTGTCTTCATTGTAACTTTATGATAATACCTAAAATTGGGTAGTATGAGTCCAACTTTATTTGCCATTTTCAAAATTGTTTGGCTATTCTAGTCCCTTTGCCTTTCTATATAAATTTTAGAATAAGTTTGTCTATATCTATAAAAAATGTTGCTGAGTTTTTAATAGGAAATGTGTTAAATCTATACAGTATATAATTTTGGGAAGAATTGGCATCTTTACTATGTTGAGTCTTCCAATCTGTGAACACAGAATGTCTGTCCATTTACTCAGATTTTCTTGAATTTCTTTTATAATCATTTTGCAGGGTTTTTTTTTTCATTTTGCAGTTTTTAGCCTACGAGTTTTGCATGTTTTGTTATATACCTGAATTTTTTTGATCTATCGTTAGATTTCCACATACTTTATTGTTATTATATAGAAATACAGTTGAGTTTTATATGTTGTTGATCTTGTAGTCTATGACTGCTTAAATTATTCTAGGAATTTTGGGGGTATGTTTCTTGGGATTTTCTAAGTATTCCATCATGCCATCTGCAAAAGGGGTAGTTTTACTTCTTCTCTTCTAATTTGTATGCTTTTAATTTGCTTTTCTTGCAGTATTTCACTGAATAGGACTAAATCATGACATTGCATTAGAGTGGTGAAGTGGACATCCTTGCCTTGTTCCTAATCTTGGGAAGAAGCATGCAGTTTTTCACCATTAAGTGTGGTTTGTAGATGCTCTTCATTGATTTGAGGTGGTTCCCCACTATTTCTAACTTGCTGAGAGTTTAGCTGCACTTAGTGGGAAGGATATGACCTAGTATGTACTCTTGTCTTGTCCTAAACTGGAAGCTTTGCCTTAACTTTTGAAAGTTACTTTTGCTATCTCTAGAATTAGAGTTTGACAGTTTCTTCTTATTTATTTATTTATTTATTTATTCATTTATTTATTTATTTTTTTTTGAAGATTTTATTGGGGAATTGGGGAAGGGAAACAGACAAGTTGCTGTCGTTTTGTTCTTCAGTCTAGTTGTGGAGGATGTTGCTTCACTGGCCCAAGTTGGCACCACCATTGCGCTCTTCCCAGGCGAGGCACATCAGTCACCGGCTT